AAAATTTATTGCTACGTATTGTCTCATTGATTTGGTTTATATTGTTAAGGTTATTATGGACAAGTCGTATAAGGAAATTCGTGAGTCCAAGAACAGAAACAATGTCTGATAATGACAAAGCAATCTATAAGAACAAAACAAAATGACTGCTAAGTACACTATACTACATCATCATCATCACTTGTATAATAATAATAATAATTTGAATGTTTTACAGCATTATAAATGAGATGCAGTGTGAAATAGGTATTTCAAATTGTCCTGATATTAGCTTTGTCTGACTTGTAGGTATATTTCCTGTCTAGTAGAGTTCATCCAGGTGAAACGCCAGGAAGTTTTGTTTTCAACGGTTTCTTTGATTTCATTCTTCGTCCCTATGATCCGAGAGCCAAGCAGCTGAGAAAGATGTTCGTGTTCAAACTGATACCTATGCTGAACCCTGATGGGGTTTCGCGTGGACATTACCGAACTGATCAGCGTGGAGTCAATTTGAACAGGGTCTACCTTGAACCTGATTTTGATCGACATCCTTCAATTTATGCTGCAAAAAAAATAATTGAATACCACCATGTACATTCCCGACTGGAGAAACCCACTGATCCAGCTGTTACCAAGAAACCAGAGACGCCAAAACATTCAAGTCAGAAAGTATCGCAAAGTGAACTCTGCAACACCAGCGAGCCCAATGCAATAATTGTTATTCATAATAGTGCTGAGGATACTAGTGCCAAAGAGAGTAGTGACTTAGTTTTAGAGACCATTCAGGTTTGTGAGAATGTGACGTCTGATTCTACAATGGAAGATAAGACTGCACATACAACTGCTGAAAATAATCGTGATGGTGTTTGTGGGGATGTGAATCTTCGTTCAGAGTCTTTGTTATCAGTTATAAGGATGTCAGAAGATAAGGATGACTCTGGTGCATCCGATGGGGAGGCGACTGAAAGTGATTTATGCAAAGAGGTTAACAACGTGAGTTTAACAGTCAAGGAAGATGCTGAGAAAAGTCCTCTTTCACCAAAGCTTCAATCGGAGAGCTCTGAAATGAAAAAAGAAGAGGAGCTGGAAAAAATTCCATGGAATGAAAGTGGCATTGCTGTTTACATGGATCTGCACGGGCATGCCTCGAAAAGAGGATGTTTTATTTACGGAAACTACTTGGAGGACGATGAACAACAAATTGAAAACTTATTATACCCTAAACTGATATCGTTGAACACGGCGCATTTTGACTTTGCTGGGTGTAATTTTACAGAAAAGAACATGTATACCAAAGATAGGAGAGATGGAATGTCTAAAGAGGGTAGTGGAAGAGTTGCTGTTTATAAAACTATAGGAATTGTACATAGGTGAGTAAAAGCTTTGCAGCTGAACATCTTTTGATTGGTGCAGTGGTGAGTAAATGAAAGTTATTGCTCAGTTCTGTACAAGGTCATATGAAGAAAACAATGAGGGTCATGAATCAAATTTTTAAGATGTTTGTGTTATTTACACTTATTACAGAATTAACACTATAGAGAAATTTTTTTTTTATTTTTGCTCAATAGGCTTTTGGTCTTGAGAGCTATTAGGGTAGTGCTGTTGTCAGCATTTGTCAACGATCTGATATGTAGGTCAAACTGTGGACAACGTCTGCTCACATGTGGGATTCTCTATTTGACAATCAAAGATACACTATTTGACAAAATCAGTATTCAATGAAAAAAGAGTAGTTTGAGAAGAATTCAATGCATGACAGGATTTATTGTAGTGAAGACAATATAGTCAACTTAGGTGATACACTAACAAATCTTACACTCCTGAATGCTGTAACTTTCCAATTTAATTTTCGGCTAATTAAAAGTTTTGTCCTACAATACAACATTAAGAAAAATGTTATCACAGCAGATCAAGACCCAGTGCTGATTAGTAAGTATAATTTTTTATCAACAACATGCTGGTTAGATAACAAACAAAATTTGCATTAGTATTAAATTACAATTTACAACTCTCAGATTGTGACATATAGATTTCAGGAATTGTGGAAATGAATTATGTCTAAAATACATTCAATGGTTTTCAAACTTGGCAATCGCTTGGCTCCTTCATTTCATTGTTTATTCAAATTTTATTCGCTAAAGCTTTTGAATTAATTGTTTTCACATGAATTAATACATGTGATTCATCCATATACCATATGTCACACACAATACATTTCAAAGTATTGTTTCTGAGTGCAACTTTATTGGTTAAAATATTAAGTATAATTTGACTATTTCAAGAATAGGTTTGTGTCTGAAATTTCAGTGAATACTGACAATTTATAAGTAAACACAGTGGAAAGCTATTTCTTGTCAGGAAATACTATACACTTAAACTGACTCACTGCATCTTACACATGGTTTGCCTTGCCTGTGATGAAATGACAGGGAAGGTGTAATAGTACAACAAATACTGTTCTCATTCTTTGTTCTGAATAACACAATAAATTTTGTACGTGATTGCAAAAATGGATTATTTGTCTGTTTTATATCTTGGCAAATTTTGATTTTGGTCTTCAGTGTGTACAGGTGGTAAAATTTGTTGTTTTGTTTTTTTCTTATTCTTAGTTATACCTTGGAATGTAATTATAACTCTGGTAGGATGGTAAACCCTGTAGCACCAGCCACGATGGATGAAGGCCGGGCCACACCACCACCATTAATAGGATTTCCACCAAAATACACACCAGCACATTTTGAAGAGGTATCTGTAATTTCATTACTTGATTTTGTTTTAAAATGTTCATGGAATAAAAATGTTTTTTCTTTTTCTTTTCATAGGTGTGTTTTGATCTCACCACTGTCTAATACAACATTTTTTTTTTATTATTTACATTTCAACATTCACAAATCATCCTACACAAAATAATATACAGAAAAAAAGAAAAGAAAAATATTTCTGCACTGCAATACATGCATACAACAGTGGTTGATGCCATCCCAGGCTGCCTGAGTGCATACTTTCTACAGAAAACTATTATGTGTATACATGTGTTCTATTACTACGCATCTCTAATGGATGCTATTCATACATTATCATATAATTTGATGATATTTTAGTGACGTGCCAGACAGATATATCAATAAACACCTAAAATTACTCATATACATTTCTTATTAGGTTGGAAGAGCAGTAGCAATTGCAGCTTTAGATTATAATAATTGTAATCCTTGGTCTCGTCTTCCATTAACCGAACATACTCATTTAGAAGGAGTTCGTACATGGGTCAATAAATACTTGCGTAGTGCTAGAGGAGCGCCCTCACTGCCAAGAAGAATGTCAAGAATGTCTTCAAAAACATCTTGGTAAGTCACAACTTATGCACATTGCATCATGGGAAACATTCACCAGAAAAGACATAACAGAAGTCTATTGATTTGTGTATACTGTGGAATACTTTATTTTCGCTGGAATTAATTTTCGCTGAAAAGGCTTTTTGGGCGTTTTGTATGGAATTTATTTTCACTGATTTTTGATGAGTTTAATGTGAAATATAGGAAAAAAGATATATTCGCTGGATTTTATTTTCAC